CCACCCCTGCTGACCTTAGACATGAGATCCTTCTCTGAGCGCCTCCCTCTTCAGCCCTGCTCCAGCCCCCTTTCAGCTGGTCCTCTGTGCTCCTTTCCTTGCCTAGGTGGGGCCTTCTCAGCTGGCTGCTCTTCCTCTCCTGTGTACTGATTGGGAACCAGGACATCAGGTCTTGGCTCTGCCATGTGCTATATGCCTTTGAGCTAGGAATCAACCCTCTCTGGGCCTCAGGATCCCCCAGGCCCCATTGGCATTCAGGCTTGATCACACTCAGGACCACAGTTTTGGGGAACTCAACAGGAATTGGGCTTTGTGCCCCTGGATCCAGCCTCTTGAAAGGTCCCCCTTGTCATGACATCAAAGTAGGAAGCCCCTAGGCCTCTGGTCCAAAGTGGCAATCCTTCCCATACTTCATCTAATTCCCGGGGTGAGTGGGGGGCATTCTGAAATAGTCAGAAATATAATAGAACTGTCAAATTTGTGAAAGAAGATAAAAGACTTTTATTCTGTACCCAGTGTAAAACAAAAACAAACATACTGTCATTTCATCCAGATAAAAGGAAAAACAAAGGAAATGAACACATTTCAAAATAGAAGTATCCTTTCCTGCTATTTTTTTTTTTTTTTTTGGAGGCTATGCCTCCTTACTGCATCTCTCTTTCTTTCTATCTCTGTTTCTACTCTGTTTCCCATCACCCTTTCTTCAAGGGTGGGTCAGGATTCCCAGGGAGACAGAGTAGAATCGTGGGTGTCCCAGAGGAAGGAGAAATAACCCACTCCCGGGTGGGCAATAATGATGATTCAGCACCTTGGCCAGCACCCACTACTCCCCCCCCCCCCACCCCCCAACCAACCCCACTCCTCTCCAAGCCCCCTTCATTTAAGCCTGTGACATGGCCCTTTGCAGCTGACCTCCTAGTGAAGTGTTTGGGGATGGTGAACAGAGAGAGGAAGCCGGGAATGCTGCCCAGGTGTGAGCTGTCAGCCTCCGGGGACGACCTCTCTGGCTGAGCTCTGTGCTGCCAAGAGACGTCATCTCTGTTGTTTTCTGTTCCTGCTGCCACCCCAGAGAGAAAGACCCAGAGCGAATGGCCTTGTTAGGTTCTGACTAGGACAAACCCTGCATTAGGCTTACAGAACCCTAGCCAATCAGAGCCAGAACCTTGGCAATCAATTAACTAGATTCCTAGTCCCTCCCCAATAGAGATGGGGAAACTGAGGCCCAAGGAGAGAGAGAAGGACCTGCTTAGGGTCACCTAGTGCCTTCTTGAGTCTACCCCTGGCCCTGAGAGACACATGAGGCTTGGTTTGAAGTTGAGGCTTGACTCACAATTGCACAAATGCACAATGGAATGGAGCCAGGGTTAAAGTCCCGCTTTGAACCCCAAGGGAGATCACAGTTTTGGTGTCCCCTGACTGTCACTGAAGTGGTCCTCAAAGTTGAGAAGCATTTCCCAGGAGGTCCAGAGAAGAGTTTGGCTTTAGCTTTGGATGGGCCTGGGTCTGTTTCCAGCTCTGTTGAGTACTGGCTGTGGATCCCCTGGGAGGTAATGTTTCTCCACCAAACACTCAGATAATGATACCAACCTCATGGGCTTGTCTTGATATTAGATAAGTACCAGAACTTTGCCTGGGATCAGATAGGAATACTGTCCTCCTATCAGTTCTCTCCTGCTCTGGGTAAGACCTTTGTTGATCCCTCCTTCCTCCCCAATGCTGAGATGCCTTTGCCTCCCCTCTTTGCTTGCCTGTGTTAAATGGGGGATTCCTGGTAACATTCAGCTTGACAACTCCAGATTCCTCATTCATGAATTCTTTGGACCCTGAGAGACACATGAGCCTTGTCTTGAAGTTGAGGCTTGACTCACAATTGCACAAATGCACAATGGTATGGAGCCAGGGAGATGCACTGATTTCCCAGAGTCCCAAGTTAGGTGTGCAAATTAGCTCCCTACAGTTACTCCCAGACACTAGGAAATGGAGAGTAAATACCGGGAAGTGGCCACCACTTCTTGGACCTTGTGCCGAGACTGAGTAGGGGAAGGGTAAGAAGGACTGTGGAGGGGGTACTGCCTCCCCAGAAGACAGATGCACTGAGCAAAGATGGAGGGACATGGCTTTGGGGCAGCCAGTGGGGCAGGCGGGTTGGGGATACTTTAGTCTCAAAATCACCTCCCCCCAAACTGGGTGCTCTCCATCAGCCGATCAGAGACCTTTCCTTCTGCTCCTGCCAATCCCCCCAATCCTTGTTCATGGCCCTTTTTCTAGAACTCCAAGCAATTCAACAACTGGGGTGGTTCCTTCTCCTCTCTCTCCAGCTCCAGGTATAGGCGAAGATCCATCTGGAGCCTCAGGGAGCATCCAGTGTAACCCCCTTCATCTGCAGGGGAGGAGACTGAGGAAAGGGCCTTCAGGGTACAAAATGAGTCAGCACAGAACTAAGACTAGGCTCAGGACTCCTGTTCCTCAGCTGTGGGGGGCCCAGGGCTTTGCCACTTAGAGTGTACACAGCTCATCTGTCCATATGCAGGGCCCTGCCTGACTCCTGGTCAGACTCCTTCCCCATGAGCCAGAGGTAGGATGGACCTCCCTGTACACAGCAGACCTGGGGACATTTCTGGCTTAGGTAGTCCCACGCTCCACACATAAGGAGGCATAAGGAGGAAGGAGGAAGATAGACTCCTTAAGGTCAGGTGTCTTAGGGCACTGACTCCTGGAGACAGGTAGAGTGGGAGGCAGGACCTCCCTAAGTGCACTGCATTTAGCAGCTTACCAATAAATCATATGAGATGGGTGTTATTACCCTCATTTTCTCTGTGGAAAAACTGAGGCCTAGAGAGGCTAAGCCATTTCTCTAAAGTCACACAGCAATGGAGCTCGGATTCAAGGCCAGGCACTCTTATAGAATTCAAGAGACCATGGCACTGTCTCATGAGCTCCCCTCTGCTCTCAAGGCTGCCATGACCCCCTCCTCCAGGCAGACTGCCAGTCTTCCCTGACAAGTAAGTTGTGATGTGAATGCTGGCTTTAGAACTCCATTCTAATCCAAGTTCCACTGCTTCCCAGCACGGACTTGGGACTGTGGGCAAGTCATGTCTTCTCTCTGAACCTCATTTTCCACCTCTGTAAAGTGGGCATAATATTACATACCCAGTAGGTTTGCTTTGTGGATTAGCCATGTTAATACATGAATACCACCTGGGACAGAAAAGGCAGGCCTTTGTCAAAATGAATAGCACTGACCACTGACATTCTGTAACTTTAATTTAATACAAATTCATCATAACTCACAAAATGGGAAACATTTAAAATAAAAATACTGCTGGGGGGTGGCCCAGCTTCTGGTAGATGAAGGGGTGAGGTGAGAATGAGGATTCCTCCCGCTCATGGGGGACCCCAATGGGCAGCAGTTGTGAGGTGGGAGCCCCCCAAGTTCAGCTGGTCTGGCTCCTTTGGGATGAGGGTGGTCAGGGACCCCACAAGCTCAGAATCTAGGCTCCAGGACTAGAGAGCGAAGTGAAGGCTTGAGACATTCGGCCAGTGCTGCGGATAGATCCACCTCTTGGGCTCTTGCCCTCGGGCAGGGACAGGGCCATGGAGCAGGACACGTGGAGGCTCTGCTGCTTCAAAGCCAAGGCCTGGAGGTGAACTCCAGTGACAAAAACTGTGGATGGGCTTGTTCAACACCTAAACATCCTTCCGGGCCTTTTTGCATGGCTGCAGTGAGAAGAAAGAAAACTACGTTTCCCAGGCACCCTTGCCGCCAAAGTTCTGGATCTGATTTATGTTTCCCCAACAGTATCCCTCACAGAGATTTGGATTTGAGAACTAAACTGAGTGGGACAGAGGCAGGCCTCAGGACACCTATTTGCCGGCCTGTCCAGTAGTGGAGGGAACACAGTTCTGCGGTCAGCAGCTTCCTGATGCAATGGCTTCCTGCAGGTGGGAGCCGCAAGTTGTTCCTGGAAATTCAGCAAGGAGTCTGCTCCTTCAGCCCTTCCAATGATTTTGCAAATCAGGGATGTGATAATAAATGCTGTCAAATTAAACTAGCTAAAGCAGCTCTTGTTTTCTGCAACAGGATCCTAACTGAGACAGACGCCAAGCCTGATGGGAAGTCCCAGCCAGCAGCCTGTCCCAGTGCTCGCCTGAGACAACTGTTCCCCTCAGCCTCCCCACACCCTAAGCCTGGTCACAGAGGCCAGTTTGGACCCTTATTTAAGCCTCTGGGGACCTCCGTCACCCAGTGATGCGTGTCCTGCAGCTGCTTTTGGGCTACTGGGCTCTGCATCAGCCTCGCGTGCCATCATCCTGATTTTAGACCCGTGGGCTGGAGGTTGGTGGCACAGTGACCGTGACACGTGGGTTCAGTGACCGGGTGCCTCCCACAGGCCACAGCATCATCTCTACCTGAAGGTCAGTGGGAGAAACAGGAACCATAAAGCTCTTGGTCCAGAGGTAGAAGGAGAGGTGGTTCTCGGGAACCCTAGGACCAGCTACAGCCTGTGTCCACTGTGGGCTGGGATCAAGGGTCAAATGGCCCATGGTGGGGTGCCGAGCAAGTCTTAGACCTGGAAGCATAAGTGGGTTTCATGTATCTTTCAGGCTGCCAACTGCCGGCAACACTCTTGACACATCCTGAGGTCAGGGCATGTGGGCAGGAGGGAGACAGGGAGAAGCTCCCCCTCCCCGCTGCCCAGAGGATGGGGATGAGGGCTAGGCAGGGGCCGCCCTGAGGAGAAGCCATGTCACATCCTGGGACCAAAGCTGCCTCCCCATCAAGGTCAGAACTACAGGACATCAATGCTGATGGCGTTTAAGAATCATGGAGCATGACCACCAATATAGAAGGGAAATGGAGGCTGAAGGGTAAACACCCAGCCCGAGGCCTCACGGGGTGTGGGGGCTACACTGGACCGGAGTCCTGGCCTCTGTCCCCTGGGCAGAGCTCTTGCTGGTGGCCGTGGCCCAGGTGGCCCCTGTGGGCTCCCTGTGCCATCCTAGATGCGGACCGTGTTGATCCTCAATGGTTGCACGTTCTTGCCGTTGGCGTGGCTCTGCCCCGGGCTGAAGTAGGAGCAGAGCTTGCCCGGGAACTTCTCGCGGAACGTGTAGAGCCAGGACATGTCGTCGGCGTTGTAGAAGATGAGCAGGCCTTGGTCGTAGTCCAGGAACACGCCCACCTTGTCGAGCTTGTCGCGGACGTTGAGCCGCGTCCAGGGCTCGGTGCAGGCGCTGTACTGGTTGCCATCATGCATGACGATGCAGTAGAAGCCGCGGCTGGGCTGGATCTGGATGCTGCCCTTGCGGCTGGCAGCCTCGTGGGCCAGCCCGATCACCCACTGGGTCTTCTCCGCCACCACCACCTCCCAGTAGTGGACGCCGCTGCTGAAGGCCTCGGAGCCCAGCACCGACACCTCCACGTCGAAGCGCTTTGGCGAGTCCTGCAGCGGCTGTGGGTGCAGGTTGCCATAGGCCACGATGGTGCAGTCGTCGGACAGGATCAGGCGCTGGTGGGCAGTGCCCGGGTCCAGGGTCAGGGCGGCGGGCACTGCAGGGGGCGGAGGAGGGAGGAAAGATAAGTGGAGAGAAGGTTGGGGATCCACTCTGTGGTGTCTCCCCGAGGGCCAGGTTCTGGTTGGTGCCCAGGAGGCTGTGTGATGCTGAACACATGTGATGCCTGCCCTCTCTGGTCCTCAGCTTCCTCCTCTGTAAAATGGAAGCGCGATAGCTGAAGTCCTTCCAGATTTAAGCCTGGCTGCAGGGGAGCAGAAGCTGTGGCTGCTTGTTCGTTGCCAATGCCTGGGGCAAGGACATAGTGGGCACCCCACAAAAGTTTGTTGAGTAAACCATAATGAAATCCAGAATTAGGGAACTTCAGAACTGAGAGAGCTTAAAGATTATCCCAGGTGCTGGTAATCACCCTGGGACTGGGGGATGAGGAAATCTGTGGGGTGGGGTGTGGGTTTTCTCAGTAGGTGGGATCCATGCATCTAAATGCCCTGAATGAGGGGCGCCTGTTAAGCAACCGACTCCAGCTCAGGTCAGGATCTCACAGCTTGTGAGTTTGAACCCCGGGTCGGGCTCTGTGCTGACAGCTTAGAGCCTGGAGCCTGCTTTGGATTCTGTCTCTCTCTCTCTCTGCCCCTCTCCAGCTTGCATTCTGTCTCTCTCTCAAAAAGAAACATTAAAAAAATTAAAAAAAAATTTTTTTAAATGCCCTGAATGAAATGCACAGGGAAGTCCCACGACCCCTTTGCCACCCATAAATTTTCAAATGCTCAAGCAGACAATCATGTGGATGAAAAATCATTTTTATAATGACCTAAAATTACAACTTAACTCCCTTTTATGTATAAACAGGAAATCTTTTTTTAAAGTTTTTATGTTTATTTTTGATAGAGAAAGAGAGAGAGAAAGAGAGAGAGAGAGAACGTGAGCAGGGAAGGGGCAGAGAGAGACAGAGACCCAGAATCCGAAGCAGGCTACAGGCTCTGAGCTGTCAGCACAGAGCCCTACCGGGGGACTTGAACCCACAAGCCAGGAGATCATGACCCGAACTGAAGTTGGATGCTTAACCGACTGAGCCACCCAAGTACCCCAGGAAGGAAATCATTTTGTACAGTTTTAACAGACTGAGTATTACTACCATGTAAACTGAGGGGAGACTGAACTTGGTTTGTTTGGAACTTTGCTCAGAATTGTTCACTTTTCGGGAAAGTATATGTCTGAGAAAAACGCCACTGACTCATATAACCTACCTGTTGTGGACCATATGTGAGGCACAGTCGTGTTTCATCTACGGTGTGAGCACCTGACTGCTTCATTATGTTTTCCACTGTGGCTGTGAGTGAGCATGTACAGATCGGCATACACAATATTTTATTATAAATCATTTCCTTCTATTTTTCCTTTACATTGTCATCACAGTATGTATATACATACCTGTATATATACAGTTTTTCAAGTTTATATACATAGTGCAGTTGTGGAAAGGTTATTATTACCTTTGAGACATTGCAAACTATTTGTTATGAAATGTAGGTGACAGGTCTGAAAAAGCGGAAAACCATGGATTCTAGGCTGACTCTTCCACTTGACAGATGGGGAAAATGAGACCCAGGGAGGAAAGGTGACTAATCTCAGGTCACCCAGCACTCAAAGGCAGGGCGAGGACTAAGCAAGGTCATGTGCAATCCAGCCCCAGCTCTACCTGTCACAGGTCACTTCCACCACACGCAGCCCCAACACCTTCACCCAGACTGCCCCTCCACTGCCTCCTCCCTGCTTGTTGTAATCACCTCTGCATGAGGCTCAACTCCAGGGCCCATCTTGTGAGAAGCCTTCCTGGTTGCCCACAGGAAGGTGGTTGCTCCCTGGTTGCTCTTTCTTCTGAAATTCCTTAATTTTGTGTTCTGGTTATATAAGGGGTATTGTCTTCTGTGCCCACATCTTTTTGCACCATTTGCACCAGGAAGGTAAGGGCTGTGTACCACACAGATAGGCTGTCCCTTGTGCGCCCGGTGCCCAGCACAGAGACAGGCATGGTGAGCGTTTCCAGAAAGGCTCACCAAATTAAACTGACCCTTGCTTGTGTTCTCTTGGACAGGTGGCACAGGCTGGGTTATCCTGTTCTGGGCTGGCCACACTGGCTTAGCAGGTCTGGCTCTCAGAGTCTCATGAACTCTCATGTCAAGGGTTCTATTTACTCTCTCCTCCGTGACGGAGCTGAAGCCCAACCAGAAGATGGAGAACCTGGAAGTGGCCTTCCTGAGCCTGAATGACCATTTCCAGGCCAGAGCAAGACAGAGGCGAGGAAGGGTGAGGAAAAGGAATCCTGCCGCCGGTACCCAGGAGCGAACAATTTCTTCATCCTGCTCTCTGGCGGTTTTGTTATCTGGTGAAGCAGGAGCATGACTACACTTGGCTGGAGCCTTACCCCCTCCTTCTATCACCTCTGTTGGCTGCACGCATGCACAGAAATAAAACGCCTCAGTGGTGGCAACTGTCACCAACAGGGAGCAACAGCCAGTTTCTGAACTGGTGCTCCCGTTCACAAGGCCACTAACAAAGCTGACCGTTGACTTACATCAAGCTCTTTCCACGAGCTCTGTTAGGAGTAAATTTAGTTTTGCATTTTACATTCTCCTTTCCTGTTCTTTGAACTCAGAGGGATGCATGGAAACAATTAGCCCTGTGAATAGAGGGGTCAGTCAATGGAATCACAATTCTCTATCCAGGGCCATGGAAGAGGGGGAGTCAGGGGAAGGAAGACACTGGATCGGTGGACATATGTTTTACCCTGTGGTCTGAGCGGTCACAGGGCAGCCTGTCAGAACCAGAGGCTCCTGCCACATGGAATGTAGGAATTCCCACAGTGGGGTCAGGAGGTGAGAGGTGGAGGGAGGTGTAGGAAGTTATGTGTGAAGGGAGGCAAGGGAAAGAAAAATCTAATTAGACACAGATGGGCCACTCCTCCCGGCTGTGGAATGCGGGTCACACTCAGGCGTGTACAGAGGAAGGGTTAGAGCACGCACAAAGCCAAGGTGTGGGCAGCGGCAGTTCTGAGTGCCACGCGGGAGCCTGTGGTGCTCAGGATATCTAGGAGGTCAGCAACAGGCAGGAACTGTAGCTCAGGGCAGAAGGACCGTGCGACCGGGCGGGGGAGGGGCGGAGACACTAGCACACCAGATGGAGGGCTCAGCCCCAGACTCTAAAGCCTAATGTGGGGCAACGTGGGCCACTTCTAGTGCCACCGATGAGTGGGGAGGGCGCTCCAGGAGGCAGCCAAGTGGGCTCTCAGTGGTTCTGAGATTGGGCCCACAAAGATGAGCCTGCAGTGCAGAGGAAATCCTGACTGCGTAGAGTGCCAGCTCCTTGGGCGTGGAGCCTCAGCTTGGAAGCCCAGGGGACTGGGTGAGGGCAAGGCCCGCCACTCATTGGGTGGGCCTAGGGGCGGGGCCTGCTGTTCATTGGGCAGTGCTGGCAGTAGAGGCGGGACTAGGCGGGGGTGGGGCCTGATAACTGAGTGCTGGGTTCCACATCTCAGGGGCAGGGCTAGGGGCGGGGCCTGGTATTCTTATTGGCATAGGGCGTGGCCTGATTCTCAGAAGCTTTTTATACTCCAAAGGACAGGCTGGGGTCCACCTCCAGGGTCTCCCATCTCCTCATAAACAGAGGTTCTGTCTTCCAAGCCTCCTTCCCACCCTCCCTGAGGAGACGGCTGGCAGGAGTAACAGCCTTCAGACCACAGACAGACCTAGAAGGGGGCCTAGCAACACCTTTTCCCCTCTCTGAGACGTCAGTCCGGGGTGGAGACTGGCAATCCCTCCACCCATCCTTTATCCTTGGGAGAAGTGCCAGACCTCAGCAAAACAAACCAGTCCCCTGGGGTTCACTATAGTACAGATCAGAGCTCTTTTCTAGGTCCTGACACACTGTTTTATAAAAACAAAAAGCAGGTATTGAAGCAGCCCATTTAAGCCTGAGACCTCGAGGTCAAGGGCATTTAGGGCGGGCATGGACTGTGGAGGCCCCAGGAAAATGTCTTCTGGCCATCTTCAACCACACATCACAGGCCCAAGCAGCAGAGAAACCCCCTAGTCAAGTACTATCACTTGGCAGCAGATGGCTGGTTCCTCTTTGTTCTCAAGGACAGTGGCTTGACCCTTCAGAAGCCTGATAGGACAGGAGACGCTGCCAGCTCTTTCCTCTGGCCAGGCCCTTACATAATCCGCTGCCCCAGTTCTCCCACCTCTTTGGCCCCCTCTGCGCCATACTGGCATTCGAGAAACACCCACTGGTTCATGGGAATACCACAGCAGCCCCAGGAGTGCAAATTACCATCCCATTTTCCAGAAGAGGAAACTGAGGCTCCAAGGAGACTTCTCTGAGTTAAGTGGCCTGCTCAGGTTGCCACTTGGGGTGGAAGTAGAGTTGGAACTTGAGTTAAAGCCTTGTCACACCGTGTTCTTTCCTCTGTGTGGCTCCAGAAAGCCTGCTCAGCAAGACTGAGGAACCAACTGATTTGTCATTATAATAATGATAAACAAGTATCAAGTTCTTACTAAGTTCCAGGATTATTATCACAAATAGATAATTTTATTTAATTCTTATCCCTAAGCTGGGAGGTAAATCACATCTTCTCCATCCCTGTTTTACAGAGGAGAAAACTGGCCCAGAGAGGGCAGTGATTTGCCCTGGGCTACACAGCTAGGTGGTGAGCACGCTGGAACCCACAAATGACTGGATTCAGGTGAGCAGGGGGAGGGGCGAGCCGCCCAGAAGAGGCAGATGGTAAAACCAAAGAAGGCGGGCAGTGTCTGGTGTCCTGGGAGCAGAGGCCACCTGGTCTGGTTGGGGAGAAAGTTTGTGCTTGGGGGCAGCAACAATCAGGCCAGGCAGTTGGAGGAGGCTTTCCAATGTTGGCTGAAGGGTGGGACAGGGGGTGGGGGATGGGTAGAGAGTGGAGGTTCCAAAGCAAGGGGAGTGACAGGTGCTAAATGGAGTTCTCAGATGACCCAATAGGAAGCCCAAACTGGAAGCAGGGCA